CATCCTAAACACGCCGTTTGCCTTCGAAAAGCCTTCAGAAAACGCTGTAAACACGCGCTTTTTTTTGCTTGGGAAGCCATTTGGGACCCAGGAAAGGGAGCATCATGATCAGCGGCCTCCCTCAGGCCATCCAAAACCCCCCTAAACACGCCGATTATATGTGCTTGAACGCTGGCATGCCCACGAAACACCTAAAAGCAAGACCCCGAATGCCCTTAAGATTATTCGGGGTCTTGCTTTTCGGGTGTTATGTGGGCATGATTCCGTTCGAGCGCATAAACTGAGCGCGTTTAGTTGTGTTTAGTATGTCGACCCACAATACACGCCCCCCTCACAAAAAAGCAACATGAGCATCCGCTGGGTCTGGGCCGTGGGCCCGGGCCCCACGAAACATGAGATGCGATGGCTGGATGATGCCCCCAGACCCCCGCGCATCAACAGCATCAGCAGACCCCCCTGCCCCCCCGGACATGGGTTTCGATGATGCTCACGTTGGGGGCGGGTTAGCGGCAACACGGGTGGGGATCGGAGGCGTGCATGAAAAACCTCATAAAAAACACGGTATTTGCAGCGTTTTGCAGCTTTCTGCTGCCTTGAGGCCGCAGGCAAGGGCTGCTGATGCGCATGATGCCCCCTTGGTTTTGGGCTTCCGGTACCCCCCCCAAGACCTTGAACAAAACATGGTTTCGGCCTGGCGCGTCCCGATCTGAAAAGCTAGGGTCGATGATGCGTGCCCGTGAGGGTTTAATGAGGTGTTGCGGGTGTTTGGGGGCCTCGGTTTTTCGTAAAAGACCATGGTTTCTTGCGAGGTTTTCGTGCTTTTCGCACCATCGCGTGTTGCGTCCCCCTTGGATGCCGCTTTGGAGGCCTTCCGAAAGGCCCCGTGCGAATCCTGAAGAATTTGGGGTGGGGTCGGTGGCACGTGCGCTGGCCCCATAAAAGCTAGGGCTAGCACTTTGAGCTTAAAGGCTTAAAGACCTCGAAACCCGAATGCCTTATTTATTTTACTTCGAACGTCGAACATCCCCAACTTAGCACCGGGGTTGGGCACTGCAGGGAGTCTCTGGCTCCCGGGTTTCTGGGCCAGGGAGTCTCTGGGCTTGGGCGCTCCAGGACACACCAGGGAGACTCTGGGGTTTGGGGGTGGGCACTCCAGGGAGTCTCGAGGGAGAAGCAAGCAGTCCAAACGGACAGTCGGGGACAGCGCACGGTGGTCCAAACAAAATATGCCTTCGCACGCGTGCCCCATCACGTGCTTGCTGCAGTCCTTGCGATTGCTGCTTGCGCTTGTGGCAGGCACGTGTTTGCAATTAGTGGTTATCCTTTGAAGACTTGTACTGATTGTGCCGCCAGATGTACAGGCCCTACGTAGGAATGAACTTTTCGTTGCCGCTTCAGTCCCCGTGCAGATGACGAAGCCGGGCACGAAGCGCTTTGAGGTATAAAGTGAAGGATGCTTCGATACGTTGTTGTGAAAAAGACACGAAAACTTCCCGCAACAACTCTGGGAACCGCCGCAAGCAAGGAATGGGGTCTCCAGCAGCGTCGGTTGCGAATGTTTGGAGTCTAGACAGGGGAGGGGCTTCCCCCCTCCCTCCTGTCCCCCCTCCCCTCCCTACCTGCCTTCCCCCTCCCCTTACTTCCCCCTCCCCCTCCTTCCCCGTTCCCCTCCTGCGATTGCATTTGCCGCTTGCGCTCGTCATGCGCTGTCAGGCCCACCCTTCAGTGACAACCCATGCTGGGGCTCGATTTCTGCCTTGCGCAAAAGCGCCGAAGATCTCAGATTCTTAAGCCTTCAGGCACCCCCAAAGATCCGACGACACTCTGGACATACCTCCCAACAATCATATCAACGTCATAATATCAGCATCATATCCTCAGAAGTTTGCGTAAATCCTAGTTCGAGTCATGTTCTTCCATATTCATAGTGAAATCGTATGTTGGAATCCCACCGAATCGCACGCAAATCAGAATAAGTTCATACATAGTGTTGCTGGATTCGGGCGTCATAATGCCATTGTAGGTCTAACCGTAGATCAGATTGAATGGGTACGCCACCCCAGGATATGGACCATGTCGGCCAGCATTGTCAAATCGCTCTAATTAGATTGAAGTGCACGAACCAGTCTACATGACAGTGTTCATGTCGATGTGTAGGCAGCCAACAGTTCGGTCGACTTTGAGGAGTTGGCAGCGCCGACCATGAATTTCCTATTCATGGCGAGAGCTACTGGGCTTCAATTTCATCCGCGGGTGCACAAAATGCAAAGAGTCAGCTGGCAAAGATCATGGCGATTGCGCAAGCAAAGTTGAGGACAGCCTTCCACACAAAGCAATTTGGGAGCATTTTTTCCGCACTGGAGCTGCAGGACGGATCCCGTCAGCCGCCGTAACTAATCTACAACCCAACATCAAATTTGATTCTGTTGTATCCGTTGCGAGGCCTCTGTGTATCTGGTGATGTGGCTCACTGGGGGAAGGGCTATGCCTCAATTATTGTTTTTATTGCACTGGGGTTGTGTTGCTTGTCAACTGCGAGTTCTCGAATCGGCAGGAGATTCTTTTCGTGCGTTGGTGCACTGCAAGCACGAGACAGACTGTCAGACTGACCTTGCGCCTGGCCCTTGCTTCACAGCATGATTCCGGCAGCTTCGATTCCACAGTTCTCTTGGGATGTAGTCACGCGATTGCCTTTACTCGAATCAGCTTCACCTCATGGTGCCCCAGCTGTCCGGGTCCGGAGGCCCTTCGCATTTTTGCATCGCTCATAAGCCAAGCGAAGCACCCCAGCAAACCAAGCGGGGCAAGAAGGTGTCGTTCGACATTGTACCATGCGCCATATCAGACGATACTCAAAAGCAGCTCACGCAAAAGCCTGTTATGTCAGGTATATCTTAGGTTACTGTACATAGTATGGTGGGTTGTTGCTACAGGCTACGGACGTATACTTCCAAGCGTCAGCAGCTGCACTCGCTGCCTTGAGGAAGCATCCGGTCTTCAGCTTGATTGAAACGGTTGAGACAGAGTATTGCTTTGGCACGGAGCTCGAGATCAACAGTGGCATGCAGCGTTGTGTACGTGTTTTTTCGTTACGTTGCACATGCTTTGCGAATTCATCAGCCTGACAGCCGAGTCAGGCCTTGTTGCTGCCATGAACAAGCTGCTGCAAGCAGCAATAGCAGCAGGGACAGGGCACCGCTGCGTGCCGAGCATGCTGTTGTCCTATCGAAATGTCCGTCTTTGCAAGTCCCAGCCGATCTTGCGCGCGGAGGCAATGACAAGTTCATATTTGTATCCGAGACGACGTTGCCCGTTCGTTCCTGAGATGAATTGCATGCATTCAAAAACCACTCGCAGCCACTGGTAAGGTTAAGCCCTTCCACTACGCTTATCAACACCTGGCGGCCAACGATGGCTCCTTAGTTCGACGGCCGGTAGTGGTAGTGGTAGTAGTGGTAGTAGTAGTAGTTGTTGTTTTTGTTGTTGTTGTCGTTGTTGTCGTTGTTGTCGTTGTTGTCGTTGTTGTCGTAGTTGTCGTAGTGGTCGTAGTGGTCGTAGTGGTCGTAGTAGTCAGTCGTAGTCAGTCGTAGTCGGTCGTGGTCGTGGTCGTAGTCGTAGTCGTAGTCGTAGTAGTAGTAGTAGTAGTAGTAGTAGTAGTAGTAGTAGTAGTAGTAGTTGTTGTTGTTGTAGTAGCAGTAGCAGTAGCAAAGTAGTTGTAGTAGTAGCAGTAGCAGTAGTAGTAGCAGTAGCAGTAGCAGTAGCAGTAGCAGTAGCAGTAGCAGTAGTAGTCGTAGTAGTAGTAGTAGTAGTAGTAGTAGGAGGAGCAGTAGTAGTAGTAGTAGTAGTAGTAGTAGTAGTAGTAGTAGTAGTAGTAGTAGTAGTAGCAGTAGTAGTAGTAGTAGTAGTAGGAGCAGCAGCAGCAGCAGTAGTAGCAGTAATAGTAGTAGTAGTAGTAGTAGTAGTAGTAGTAGTAGTAGTAGTAGTAGTAGTAGTAGTAGTAGTAGTAGTAGTAGTAGTAGTTGTAGTAGTAGTTGTAGTTGTAGTTGTAGTTGTAGTAGTTGTTGTTGTTGTTGTTGTTGTTGTTGTTGTTGTTGTTGTTGTTGTTGTTGTTGTTGTTGTTGTATTAGGAATAGTAGCTGTGCTGCGCAATGCTACTTCTATGCCATGATGATCCATGATGCTTCTTGTGTTTGGACGATGTATTGCGCCTATCAAAGTCAGCTCAACCTGGCTGTCGCCGATCCTGAGCTGCCGAGGATGAATCGCACTTTTGTTTTTTCCCGGTGCCCCAGACTTAAAGACTCCGTTTAAGGGCGCACATGGCACACCTGTGCTTCAGACATGCGCTAAGGCATTGGATGCGATGGAGCGAGGACTCCACGTGGTCCCCTTTCAGCTATTTTACGAGCTGGCTAGGGCCCTTGCCATTATTGAGCAGGTTAAGTTGTCGGCAGGTGACGCTTGCGTGATCCCCGAACCAAGGCTTTCGGCAGTCGAAGATGAGCTGCGCTAGACTCAGGGGGGTCTGAGCAGTTCTGAGCTTCTTCACACATTTGACCGGAAGTCAAAGCTGGTTTGTCATGGATGCATGAGGTTTTCGGTCGAGCACAAAGGCAAGGAACGACTGGCTCCAAAGCACCACCAGCTCGCCGACTGCGATTAGAGTGCCCTTCAAATCTTCAGACTTCCAGCTTTGGCACGTTTTGATTGCATCGTTTCAACAAAGGTGGATGGTCTTGAGCCGGAGACATGTCGGGTCCCAATAGTGTTAGATCTTACCGGACCAGCGTCCTTCATGTCGGCCATGTGTCGGTCATAATTCGTGATATGGTCAAGCAGCACAGGTTGCAGAAGCAAGAAGGTCATGATTCGGTGACTCAATGATGACATGATGTGCACTGACTCAGGCGCTACTCGCAACTCGCAAAGCCTTGCTCTCACTCAATGTTTTTGGATGCTCTTGTGCCTCTTGTGCGTAGAGAGGCTCGTTCCAAGTTGAGGCGGAAAAGTTCCCAAACCTTTTGTCCGACCTGGGAGTGAATCATCCAGGCCTCGAACCGAGAGTTGGAAGCAGAGTTGCACCGTACAGTTCAAGAAACGCCGATGTATGAAATGGAGGTCCAAGCTTAGTGATAGCAATGTAGATCGAGCACCCAAGACTGGTTTAGTTCCTGGACCCGTTCATTCGTGCTGCAACTCGTTTACTGCTCTTGTTCAATTTTCTGGTTCGCCGAGCGCCTGAGTCGCCAGAGGCCTGAAATTTTCTCTGACACCAGGCAGAACTTCCGGATGCAGCGACGAGTTTTGGCACTTTAATACCTTGTATGACGGCGTGAATGCCAGCAACTCAGACTGTGCAATGTGCTTGGTGATTCAGCGCATTTGCTTTCAACAAAGTTTGCAGGTTACAGACCTCAAAGCCACATCCTTGGTGCACTTGGAAGGCCCCTCATTCCTTCCAAACTAAACAGCATGCAAAATTGAAGCAACTGCGCTTGCGAATCGCTCCAGATCACTGCCAATGTTAGGCATCGCCAACGGCGACCTACAGTACGATGCCCACGAACCGCAGGGACAATGCGAAGCTTGACTGCACAGGCCTTGACACAAGCCAATGCATTCACATTCATTCTCGAATCTAAGGACACTTTTGTGTACTGGCATTCAGAGGACTCTGGCGTCAGTTCCCCCATGTTTCGACAGTAGCTATAGAGTATGGGAGAGTATCGGAGAGTATCGGGCTGCGCACTGCAGGATGACGGTAGGGCCGGCTCTGCAAAGACCTTGGGAGAGAAGCTTGAGGCAGCCATGTTCTCATTCCTGCATCACTCAACGGTGCCCATTGTGCCCTGAGAAGCTAAGTGGGCGCCAGGAAGATTCCTTGACCCACTTGTCACACAAGGCCAGAACCGGGCTGTGCTCAAGATCAATCTGTTTCAAAAATGAGGGCATGTGCGGCATTTGTTATCCGAGTTATCCGAGTTGAGGCTGGCCATCCTTGCGAGATAACCGGTCTGAGTGAGAATAGCGTCCGTGCGGGGCTCGTGCGCGTTGCTTACGTTGCGCAAAGCTGGATCGGTGAGTGGTGACCGCCAGCGCTGAGGTGCTCTGCGCCAGTCCCCCTTCCTGTTCGCTCGCAAGGCGCAAGCATGCGCACACTTGATTTCACTCAGCCATTGAGTTTACTTCTAAGCGGACGCTTGTGCTAGTTTCTGGAATGTCACAGTTGCAGTTCTGCAAGGATGTTTTTGCACAAGGAAGTTGCACGTCAGTTCTGTGGCAGTTGTGACACATGACACGGTTGCGACAGGACCCAGCTGTTCGTTGTGGTAAGCCTATTTTGGTTTTGGCAATGTGTTTGATGGGCACCGGGTGGTTTGCTGAGGCTGGGCGCTCCAGGGATACTCGGCGAGTGGGCATTTATTTCAGGGCTACTCGATAGGACTCTCTTCGGGGGGGGGACCTCCAAGATATTACAAGGACACGATGACGGGGCCCTTTGCTGGGCTTTTCTGGGGCCACTTCAGGGATACTGGGCGGGATTCTTTGCGGGCTTCGCTGGAGATTGGCATCTCAGATATACTCGGCAGTCCGGTCTGCATCGTCTAAAGAAGCCCTAAGCAGCTCCGGACCACTAAGAAACGATCGTCCGAAATATGAAGGTTCTGACAAGCCTCCGGGCTTCGGGCCACAGTCTCGTTGGCACCAAGTCTGCACAACAAAACAGATGGCTTTTTTTTGCGTGCCAAACTCGGTCCTTGCAGTGGCTGACCAAGGGAATGATGTCCGCGGCAGCGTCAGGCGGGTGTCGACCAGAGAGCTGCGGAATGTCGGGCAGCAGTTTGCATCGCGCGCTGCTCCGCGAAGGGGTTGACGCAACGCAATCCTTCGTTTTTGGACCGTTGGATGGATTCGCTGCGTGCGGCCAGACTAAGGGGATCTGCATATTTTGGGCCATTGGTTTTTCGCGCTCCCGCCTGGTTCGCCAAATGCGAAACCGTCTTTTGGACGTCGGGATTGGCGAAATGAGAATCGCGCTTGGTGTTTTTGGGAGCCATCGGGAGCTGCGGTGCTCGAAAGTCGACTTTTGTGGTACAAACATCGTACGCCGAGGACGTCTGGAGCTCCAGTGGCTCGAAAGCGTAGCACAACAGTAGTGCGCGGAGGAGGTTTGGAGTTCCTTTGGCTCGAAAGTTCATGTTTGTAGTACGGTTGATGACGGTTGTGCGGAGGACGTCTGGAGCATCAGTGGCCAGTCGCTCTTTCGTGCCCTCATGAAGCGTAGTCCTGACAGTGTTTTTGGTGAGCTCTTGGATTGACAAAGTTCGTAAAACCAGCTTTGATGTCTTGAGTCTTAACCAATTTACACAGAGGGGCCTATCACAGGCCAGCGATTTCAATTTTGAGGATTCATTGTATGCATCTGACATGTGCTTTTAACCTTAAGGTGCTACGTTGTAGAGCACGGTACTATGCTTTTCATAAAGATCTAGGCGCACGCCCTGGTCTGTGCAGATTATGCCTGGCAGCCGTGTCCACACGGCTCTTCATCGTATCGCTCGTGGCGCCCAGTGGCTAAGCTCAGCGCCTTTAGTTCTGAGTGTCTGCTCAACTGGGGCCCCAGCCGCCACCACAGGCTGGACGGCTATGTGGACTCCAGCCTTGAGGAGGCCTTCGACCGGCTGATTTTCGCGGAGAGGTAGTTGATGTACGTGGAAGGCGAATGCGCGTACTGCGCTGCACGACATGGGAAGTTGTCCTCTGACATTTCGAGAAGAAAGACTAGGAAGCGCGAAGACGTCATGTTGCGTAACATTAGTCAGAGCATCACAAACTTCGATGCGTGCTGGGGAAATTGCTGTGCTGCTCAGACAAGAGGATAGAATCTAGTTTCACATGCTCGCAGACGGGCGGCTACATGGAAAAGTTTTGGGCTCGGTGCATGATGTGCCAATGCGGCTGTGCCTTCTTGAAGGCATGATGTCGCAGGCTTGTTTATTCAATGAATATGCTGGAGGGTTGAAGATTTGAGTCTAATTCCTGCAGCGCTTAGGCCACATGTTGGGGAACTCCATCAGAAAGGCTGATAATCACAAAGAAGGAATAGCAATAGTAAAGGAATGGATCCGAACATGACTCACAGGATCCAGGATTTAGGGTTTTGCATGACAATGCTCTTACCCTGATGCTGTAAAAGGCGGATGCAAAGCAGGATCAGCTAGCAAGCAAAAGCATTCAAAAGCTGATGCAGCTCCGCGTTGTTTTGCGTCGCGGGACCAGTGCTCTGCAGCTCTTGGTACTGGATTCAAAAGATATTCAAAAGTCTACAGCGAAAGCCAAAACAGCACTGAAGCGCGCAGAGCACATCAAACTTGATAATGTCTAGATCTGCAGCACGTTTTTGATTCTTGACCGCCTAGCACGATGGCTACAATTGCAGAGATCCGGCCGTTTGTGTCGAAGACATTTGAGCCGGAAGAGGAAATAGGCGAAGTCACAATCTGCCACAAGCTACTTCCTCCGGCAGTTTCTCAGTTGAACGAGGTGAACGTCATGCTCACCATGGGTGGAGATGATCGAAGCTTGCTGGATGAGACGGGCCACAACAAATACCATTGCAGACCAGTCTTTTGACATGAGTTTTTGTGGGTTCAACATGGGCTTAATGACAATCATCAGTACCTCATTCCCTCGTTCCGTCATTCTCTGCAGCCGGCACCCTAAATTCCACAAAAGCCTCCAGAAAGGTTTACGATGCCAACGACATTTGCCGCGGCTCCTGCGCCTTCCTGGCGGTTAGTACGGAAAGAAAGATGAGTAGCGATGGTAATGCTAGTAGTAACCCGTTAACCCAGGTTGCATTATCTAAACTCCCTACAATCCTTCATCCCTAAAGCCGAACCAGTCTGATCAACCTCCATAAGCGCCCTAAGGCCCTAAGATGCCCTAAGCCCTATTGCCTACGAGGCACCTGCAATTCACCGTCCCGGCTCGGTCTGGAAGCGGCTACGGCAGCCTTCGAGGCGATGAAGAAGGACGCATCTGAATCATATGGACCCATCCATGCCTGTTTAGTTCACTGGGAACATCCTGGGAATGTAGAGAAGGCGAGAGCTGGACATAAACTTGGTTGCGGCGCCTGTACGCGCCCTTGCGTTTTCAGTGATTTGAGACTGAGGCGTTTTGCATGGCTACGCGCGAAACCCAAGCGGGAGCGCAATTTGAAATAAAATTGTTGTTGAGGCAGGTGCGCGAAACACTAGAGGCTGAAGGAAACTTTAGGCCTAACTGTGTTTTCGCTCGGGTTTTAAGCTGATTTTAGAAGAGGCTGCAGAACAAAACTTTATTTTTTGAGAGAGTTTTGGAGGATGTATGGCTGAGTTTAAAGGATTTTGGATTTGAAGGCCGGGTCAGGGGTTTTATGTTGAGGGTTTTTTGCTTGCAGGGTAACGCAGTACAGCCTAGTTTTTTGGGCATAAAACGCTGTAAATACCAGTGTTTTTTTGGCATGGTCGCAAAAGGCATGGACGCTTGTGACAGATTTTCTCCTTCCACTTTCTCTGTGCAGTATGTTAAAATGCTGTAAATACCAGTGCTTTTGGGCATAAAACGCTGTAAAGACCAGTGTTTTGGGCATGGTCGCGAAAGGCATGGACGCTTGTGATAGATTTGCTTGTTCCAAATCCTTGTGCAGTATGTTGTACAAAGAGGCGAAAAGGCTGTAAATACCAGTGTTTTGGGCATGGACCAAGTATGAATGACGTTCTTATCCCCCCCTCCCCAGCCCCCCGCGCCCCACCCACCCCCTCCCCCCCCATACCCTGAAACCTGCAAAAACGCAGGGGCGCGTAGAGGCGCCGTCACCATAAACTTCCCGTATTCTGGGCGAAAACAGCCCTATGAAAATGTCGAAGATGTCGGAGCTATAGTCGGAGCTTAGGCATTTTAAGGGCTTCTGCGTGCTCGGGAGGACAAAACTGGCCCTCAAAGTTGTAGCGCGATTTCGCGTGATTTTGCTGCGTCGCGCGTCCGGGGAGCCGAGCCTCAGGCTTGGGCAGAGCGCCCACGTTACCAGCACCACTTAACCTGGCGGGTCCAGCCTCCCCCACTTGCCCGAAGTAGCCTTTCAATGGCCTTGGCGGCTTTGGAGGCCTTGGAGGTGTTTTAAATGCCAAAACCGGGCCTGCGACAGCGAGGTGTTGGGGGAGGTTCGTAAAGGCATGGAAAGGCCAGAATCGACGTGTGATCGGCCTGTGGCCTTGTCATTCTTTGTCATTTTTTGAGGGGCTCTTGATGGCTCTTACGAAAGCCAGACACGGTCCGTAGGACGATTTCGGGCGTTGCGGGATAATTAGTTCCCGCAATCATACTTATAGTTGCCATTCTTGTTTCTTTCACTTTTCTTTCCCACCACTTGCGAAAGCCGACAGGACCCATGTGGCCATACAGCTTCTGGTCTATTCTCAGACGTTCGAAGTCAAATAGCTGAGTTGCTTCATCTGCCAAAGAGTACTGGTGTATTCCTGACACCTTCCGGAACAGATGCGGAGTACTTGCCTCTGTGCTTCATGAAAGCCTTGCATGGGGAGGGGAAAACCGTGAACAACATCGTCGCTTGCTTGGAAGAGGCGCGTGCGTACAGACATACCCCCATGGAATGGTAGCCCTAAGCCCTGACCACATCCTTCAAACCAGGGATCCTCATTGCCTAAATGGAGAGAAGCCCCCAGGTTGGTTCTGGCACCTTCGAAGCTGCTGGTGGTTTCTCCTTTTCTTCGACGCAACCAATACCACAGAGTGGGGGGAGCTCGAGCAAATCAGCTACGAGTGCTACGAGCCTGCCTTTGCCAGGCCTGGCGCTGAATGTGCGCACAGTCGGAATTCCGGCTCGCAATAAGGATGGCTCCGTGGTCGACCTGGAGGCTGAACTTGACCGATTGAAGATGAATGCCGCAATGAATGCCAATGATGAGACGCTCATCTTGCACACAGTATACGGTAGCAAAACCGGCATCATTCAGGATTGCCCCAAGAAGGTGCTGGACCACATCAAGCAGTGTCAGGGTCTGCATGTTCTCGATGCATGCCAGGGTCGGATAGAGGTGGAAGCTATTCTCAAATATTTGGAGCAAGGGACGGTGGTGCTCTTCACTTGCAGCAAGTTCTACCGCAGTCCTCCATTTGCTGGCGCTGTACTGGTGCCACCGGCCTTGATGGTACAGTTGGCTCAGAGCAATTTTGTGCCCCCCAGCTCTTTGAAGGGCTTTTTCACTCAGAGTCAAGTGCCTGAAAGCCTTCCTCGGTGGCGTGCTGCGTTGGCTAGCACCTCAGAGAATCACGGCCTAGCCTTGCGCTGGGTGGCAGGTCTTGCAGAAATGAAGGCCACTTTGAAAGTCGACGAGTTTGAGCGGCAAGAGGCTACTGCTTGCTGGAGGAAGGCCATCATTGAGGCTGTCAGCAAGCATCCTCGGCTACGTCACTTCTCCGAGGCTGAAGGCTGCCACGGCTTCCAGGTCTCGCAAAGCATTGTCTCTGTCACCTTGCACAAGAGTGACAAGAATGGCACTATCACCAATAATGCGATGACGAAGAGTGAGCTTTCGAAAGTGTTTCAGGCCATGACAGAGGACATGTCCACAATTTGCGACCACCCGGCAGCTGCAAAGCGCTGCTTCATCGGGCAACCTGTTACGATCAATGCGTCACAAGGTGTCCTTCGCATCGCGCTTGGCTCCGACAGTCTCCGTCGCTTCATCGAGGATCCCGCCTCCGTACTCAAGGACGACTGTTTACTCATCGAAAAGATGAGCATGATGGCAGAGGAGTTTCATAGTCTCTGATTTTTTTCAGTGGGCGGCAGCCTTAGGTGACACATCACCTGAGCCCCTGAGCTACCTGTTACTCACTGACGATTCTCTCTTGCGTGCATTCCCCTTGCTGAAGCGTCGCTCTTCGCAGCAAAAGCAGCATTTGCAAGCCAGTGTCCTTGATTAAATTCTTCAAGCTTCCACAATGATTAGATGCTAGATGACTTGTGTCGCAGAGTATTGGATCGAATTCATGCTTGCTAAGGATGGTGTTAGCATGTGTTGACCATGATTTCTTCGCTCACTTTCTCCTCCTGCCAGCATACAGGGTCCTAGGAGGCTGGTAGACAGAAAACAGTGGTCATGGAACTAAGTCAAGTCCTGTACCTGTCACTTTGAAGTCAGGTGATCGCAACTCGCATTCCACGTTCTCGCAGCATTGAAAGTAATCTTTATTCGTCAAAGTCGTCTGCAGGGTAATCACAAGTAGGCAATCAATTCAGATCATTTGTTGCGTTCCTGTGTGAGCGATGCATGGTTCATGGTGCCTGGCCGCGGTGTCACCGTGTCTACAGCACGGGCCTCATCAAGCTTTTGGATTACAGAAGAGAGGATGTCAGATGGAGTACTGCAGACCTCCATGGATTGCATTCAGGACTTGTCTCTGCAAGCTCTCTTTGTATTAACCATGCATCGTGTTTGGCAGGCATGGGTGTGCATGCATCATTCCTCATTGCTGCTGCATGACATTTTGGTTCGAGTGTGACCCAAAACGGCAGGCAGCTGTTGATTTTGGGAGTGGGAGTGACCCGAAATTCTGTGAGAGTGACTCACTTTACTGAGAGAGTCTCAGTATTTCTTCTAGCAGGAGTGACCTGCTTGGGGCATGGAACATGAAGCTCCGCATACAGTCTGCGCCTTTCACACAGATTGCCAGGTACTTCACCCGGCAGCGGCCGCGGAGTTTCGGCGCCTCATCAACGAGAGAGCTTCGAGGGGTGACCTCCGGGATGCAGCTTTCTTGTGGGCTTCAGCAGTGGAAATCCAGCATTACCCACCTTTGGAAACCGATGTTCCACGAGTCCCCGAACTCCCAGGTTTGTTGCCGCCCGTCCGTCAAGTGCCATGCACGAGCATTCCTTGTGCTCGTTGTGATTGCAGCCGTGGAGGGTTCCAATTCCCATATGTTGCAGTCGAGTTCAATGCGGGCGTTCTGGTCAAGGATGGCCGTTCGGCGGCTGGAGCCTGGGAAGATTTTCACCGCTGCGGACACCGCTTGGGTATTGCAGAGGTTCTGTGCCTGCAATCAGGGCTTTTGGTGGAAGACATCTTGCCCCCCAATGCGGCCAAGCTTATCAAAGTTGTTCAAACACAGACCGGAGCTGGGGGAGCGACCCCGCGTGACCTTTGGCGGGCCTGGAGAAGTTGGCATGGAGGGCAGCGCAGGTGGAGGGACCCCTGCTGGGAGCCCGTTGCCAGTCGGGAAGAAGGCCGAGCCGACGAGATGGCAAGGAGCGGGAGATCTTTGTGGCATTGGCTCGGTGCAGTCGAGGCCGGATATTCGCCACTCTTCAGTCCATGTGCCTCGTGCGGTTTGCCAGCCCCTTTCTTGTGCAGGCGTTGTCAAGCTGTTGTCTGCAAAGACTGTATCTCCGAATGCCGGCTCTGCTCACAGTAAGTCCGAAGTAGCAGGAGCAGCCCTGGCAGCAGCGCTCGCCAGCCAGATGGCGGGCATTTATGCTCTCCAAGCAATGGAAGACCCTTCCGCCCAGGGAGAGACCCTGGGAGAGCCGGAGGCTGAGACGGTGGTGGACCGCATTGCTGCGCGGTCGGTCAGTCGATCAGTACCGTGTGCGCTACGGGCTGGAAGATGACCTGGACTTCTCCTACGCCTTCACCAGCTGGGAAAAGGCGAGAGACGCCGGAGGGCATGCAGTCGCGGATGCGTGGGCAGAAGTCTGCAATGACCGCGAGGATGGCGCAGCCCTCGGCTTTGTGCGCCAGGCAGTGGACGCGGCGGCAGCTCGACCCGCTGTGCGCGCGGCCGTAGTCAAGAAGCTCCAGCTGGGGCGTATGGCCAGATCCGTGAAGGAGCGTGCCGGGCAAAGGGCCTCTGATGCATCGGTGCCGGACAGCGAGGCAGCGAATGAGCTAGCGCAGTTCATGGAGGCAGCAGGGGCGCACGAGCCTGGAGATCGGACCGAGCGGCGCTCGGCAGACTGGAAGAACCTCCTCTCTTCCTTGGCGGAGCGCAAGGTGAAGGAGGCGGAGCGTGCGACAGTGGATGGCTGCCTTAGGTCCCTGCGTGAGCTCCTCCACTTTCAGTTGCTCCGAGGTCGAGCCGGTGGCCTGGCGGATGTGGACAAGATCGACCTCTTTGCCTTCCTGGAGCAAGGTACTAAGGCCCCCGTCCGTGCATTGAATGGGCTCAGGTGGTTCAGCAAGCACGCTTCCCTCGAATGGGAGCTGGCAGATTTGCAACCCTCGAGGCCAGTGCAAGCTGGGAAGGAGGGACCTTCCCAGGCAGCGGTGGCGGAGCCTATCATGCTGAGCGAGCTGGAGGCTCGGGTGGTGGATCTATGGCAGTTTGGCGATCCACGGTGGAATTGCCTCCTCGGCAACTGGATCATCTTCGCCGGTTGCGTGCGCCACAAGCACTTGGAGAGATCCGTGCCGATTTCGATCACCGGATCTACTGTGCACTTTTGGTGTCAGAAAGGAAAACAGGCTCACAACAGGAACGGCTTTGCCTGGGCGGTGCCATCGCACTTTATGTCAGGGTGGCCGTGGGCCGAGTACTGGTTGGATTCGTTCAAAGGGCTGCCGCCGAGCAAGCAGCTCAAGTGTGGCGTTTGCTTTGATGCCCACGGGAACCCGTGGGCAATCCACGAAGTCACCAAAATGGCCCAAGACGAATTCCTCGGGGTCGAACCCCCTGTCACCACTTACAGCTGGAGGAGAGTGGCGCCATCAGTGGGACTGCTGTTGCAGCTGGATGAGCAGTCTATGTTGTCGCTATCCGACTGGCAGGACCGTAGCAAGGTGCAAGGTTCGGCGGCGGCGATGCCACTGCACTATGCAGGCACCAAATATGGGTTGTCAGTGCGGAACAAGCACCTGATCTTGGCAACGGCTTCAAGATGCTTGGATTTTGCATCTTGGGACGCAGTTTCCCCGCAGCTTCTTGTCCAGGACGACCCGGCGTTGCGCAATACAGTGGCAGAGAAGGTGCGCTTGGATGGGGACACCGTCTGGCAGGCGCCTGCGAGCTTCCCAGGCCCTGTTCGGAAGAAGGCTTTCCAAACCACAGCACTCCACAACCGAAGGCAGATGAGGGCGGCTACCGCAGCGGGAGGGACCCGCAGCGCGGAGGCGGAGCCTACTATGCCAGCGCAAGCGAATGGCAGGGTGCTTTCAGCTTTCCTGAGGAACGGGAGCAGGTTGTGCCCGAACTTTCAGCTGGGCCGATGCAGGGACGATGACTGCGTGCTGCAGCATCAGTGCGCCGCTGTCCTGCGGTCAAGTCGCGTGTGCGGAGGCAGACACGCAGGGAAGGACTGCCGCGACAAGCGGCGCATGAAGCCTGAGGATGTGCCACGCCCAGTCCCACCGCCCGCCAAGGCGCCTACGCTGCCAGCGCCGTCGGCCGCAGTTCGCTTGATTCCGGCCTCTGAAGTGCGGCGAGAAGAGCCGAGATCGAGCGACAGGCGCGAGAGTCCATCGGCGAGCTCCAGCGGAGTTCCGGAGCCGCGGCATCCGCCGTCTGCGGCAGCCAGGAAGCGCAATGCAGCAGCCATGGAAGGCCTGGAAGAGGTTCCGGTGAAGCCTATGCCTCGGGTGCCCAAGGCGGAGATCAAGGTCAAGAAGGCGCCGGTTGGTTTCGCAGCGAAGTCAAGGCCGGCGCAGCCAGTGCGGCCGCCTCCAAAGGCCATGCCCCGTGCCAAGTCGGGGCCTGAAGCCGCAGGAGCCAAGCCGAAGAGCAGACCTGCATCGGTGAGGGACACCGATGAGAGCTTCTTCGATCGGCTGGCGGAGCGCAGCCTGGCTTTGGGAGACACGAGGGAGGCCTTGCAGATCCCGACCACCGTATACCAGAGTCGTGCAGGAGGTCGCTTGCTGTTGTCCGCCCTCCCAACGCAGGACAATCGGGCCAACTTTCCGGTGGTGGACCTCCAGGTCACAGCTATGGAGAAGTCAGCGCCGGCGAGGAAAGGCATCAACTTGCCCAACGCGTTGGTTCGCCAGTTCAATGTGACCTCGTCGTATGGGCGCGACGAGGCCTTCGCAGAGCTCTTCCCCCTCATCAAGCATACGCTGTGGGAGGGGCGGCACGTCTTGATACATTGCATTGCTGGGAGGCATCGGGGTGGATCCACAGCCGTGACTTGTAGGGCAATCTTGATGGGAGAGTCCCTTCGGGATGCCGAGGAGCATGTCAGGGCCCTCCGCGACATAGAGCTACACAAGGTTCGCTGGCAGAACCGGTCTATTGCGGAGTGGATGGAGAAGGCGGTGCGGAGGACCAATTTGGGAGCGGCGCCGCCGGTGCCGGTAGCCGGGAGTGACCCTCTGTCAGCATCGCCAAGTTGCGGGCGCTCGCAGCTTAGTATCCCCGATGCGCACTTCGGACAAGTTCGAAGCCTTTGCATGGCAGAAAGAGCAGTGCAGAGGTTGTTTCAGTCTGGCCGGAGCCCGATGGCAGTCTCCATGATCGGGTGAACGGCCCAAAGTGTATTGCCCCCAATGAGCTAGCGTGACCTACGAATCAGAGCTTGCTGGCCTGCACATGTGTGCCTCAGTTTTGCGTCGGGCATAAGTCCTCGGATCGGCCCGTCGCCGCCTTGCCAGCTTTTCGTACTTTAGTCCCTGCGTCACGCGAGCATAGAAGAGAAAAGGTCGCGCGTCTAGACAGCTTCTGTGATGCCTGCCAGAGCACGCCACACAGGGAATGCACTGCTGTTGTTTGCATGCTTGTTGTTTCCGTGTGAGTATTGCACATGAGAGATTGCATGCATTGCGAGTGCGTGGCAGGCACCCGTGCTGTTTTTTACATGTGGCATTTTGGCTTGGATGAGGTACATTCGAGCAAGCCGGGAGGGACCCGGCGAGCGTGCTCCAGGTGGGACCCGGAGAGAAGCTCATAGGGCATAGGCCTCCAAGAGTGACTTGGTGATGGCCCAGTCTTTGGTCCCGCGTGACGGGGGGGAGATTTCAAGGCTGCCCTTGCCACTTTAGCTACCAACTTTAGTCTCTCATCTGAAGTCACAAAGCGCATTGAATCCGAGGGAGTGACCCATTTGGAAGAGTTGCGTTTTCTGTTTGACAATGAAGAGCATGTTGGTCGCTGGATTGCTAAGTTAAACTTAGGTGACGCCACTATCATTCAGACAGCCCGCATGCGTCGAGCATGGCAAGCAGTGCGCCTTTACTTTACCCAAGCCGAGCAGGACAGGTCCAAAGTTATGCTTGCTGACCTTGACTCGCTGTTGGAAGACGGGGAGCTTCGGAATGTCAAGCAATCCTTTTGGAGGCGGTATCGTTTGCGATTCCCTACCGAAGTGCATCCAGCAGACTCGCTTCTTTCGAGGGTATCACGTGAGATCGCCAAGCGCATGTTGTGCGTGTACCCCATCGGGAAGGTACGTAATCTGCAGTTCCAGCTCACCACCGTGCAGAAGAAGCGCAAGCTGGGAGACAACCTCTGGACCGAGGAGGTGGAGACAGAAGACATGGGAGTGCATGACGAGAACACCTACCTCGACAAGTTGCACACACTTCTGTTGGCATATGCCATGGCCGGAGTTGAGGCACTGCCGGGCGTGGACCTAACCAAGGAGTCGACCTTGGGTGCAGCGTCGGTTGAATTTGTGGGAGTGCCTCTGGACACGGTGCTGGCATATTACTACCGAGCGAAGAGGTGCACTTTGTCTTTGCCGCCAAGCCGTCGGCTGGCGTGGTTGCAGGCCAAAGATACCGAAGAGCGCAGCGAGTGGGTTACAAGATTCCACGAAAGCACAGACTCTCTGGGGTTGGTCATCAAGCAAGTCATGGAGGCGAGGGACGCCCATTGGACTGTGTCCAATCCAACCCCGGGCCATATAGTCCCGGAGCAGCCCGGGACAAGCACGGCGAACAAGGAGCAGCTGGGAGCCCAGGCCAGTCCAAGTTTCGCGAAGGACCTACAGTGGCAGGGAAGAAGACAGCAGCCGTCTTGAAAGACGGAACGCGCCTATGCCCTGAGTTCCAGCGTGGAGCATGCAAAGCAGCAGCGGGCAAGTGCAGCAAAGGAGCCCACAGGTGCGGAGTCATTGTGCGGGCACAGCGAGCTTGTGGTTCGCCAGGCCATGGTGCGGCTGCATGCCGAGTTCCCGCAAAGCCATGAGGGGGCCCTGAGGGGGGTGAGGGGACCCTTAGGGGAGACAGATGACCCCCATAGGGAAGCAGCGGACGGCCAGCCAGTGGCAGTGGACCTTATGTGCGGTGGCAATGCACCGTTGACGAAGGCACTGTTATATTGTGGCTGGAAGTGTGCCCCAGTGGATTTGGTGCTCGACCCTGGCCACGATCTGGCGTCGGCTGAATGCCAGCCTTTGGTACAGCAAGCAGTGGATCAGGCATGCCTGGTGTTGGCAGCCATCGACTGCAGCACGAAGTCTAGTGAGGGAGATTCCTCGAGACACAGGGACACAGTCAGGAGCGCCGAGACCGCTCCGGAGCGAAGAACATCCCATGGGGCTTCCAGGGCTGGACATTCGGGCACAGCGCAGAGTGTCCCGAGACAACGTGGCCTGTAAGTTTGTCCTGGACTTGCAGCAGCAGGTGGTGGACCGCGGGGGGGGAGCCTTGCGCGAGAACCCTCGCAACAGCTTGCAGTGGCATTTGCCGCAAGAGAAAGCGATGTCAGCGTCGGGACAATGGTTCGACACCGACTACCACGCATGTTGCTTCATGGGGGCACGTCGCAAGGCGCAGCGCCTGCGGCGCAATATCTGGGAGTTGACCCAGGGGCCGACGCTGCGGTGCCACCATACCCACGATCCAGCGGAATGGGAACCGTGGGCAGTTGGAGACCAAATCGTCTTTCCCGCAGCGTCGGAGGCCGAGTACACAGCCCCTTTGGCGTTCCACATCGCAGTCTCAGCGAGCTGGTGGGCGTGCAGAACCGGCTGGGCCAAGCTCCATGTGCCCCGCGGGCCAGCGGTGCAGACAGTTGGCCGTCGGGAACATTGGCTACAGTTGGATCCACGAGCACTGCGCGAGTGGGCTATGGCGCCGCTGGCTATTTCCCTGGGCCTCAGGCCACTCGACCCGGGGGAGGCGGCGCGCGTTCCGCGCCGAGTTGAGGTGCAGTCGGCTTTGCAGCCCGACAAAACCCTGCCAGCGGACCATGTGTGTGTGGGAAGAGGGCATCATACCCACCGGCTGCCAGTCACACAGTGGGCTTGTCCGTTTGTTCCAGGCTTCAACTGTGGAGTGGATGACTGGCTCCCGCTTTTCACAGAACACGTCATGACCCACATGCGCAGCGAACTCAGGTCTCTCGAGGGTCGAGTGTTGGCCTGCGACTGTCCCCTGTCCCAAGCCTGCGAGGCGGATGTGCTGGCAGGCTTGGTGTTTCAGGAGGGGAAACCTCCGGATTGTGCGCAGGATGCGGCTGCGGGACGGCCGGGGCGCAGGCACAAGGGATCGCGACGGAGAGTCATCCTCGCGGCGGCAGCTGGAGCGTTGCCTACTCCAGTGGGGGCCGTCATCCCGTACTTGCACCAAGATGCCGTGACCGGCGCCTTCAAGTCCCTTTTCCCGCCAGACCTCCTCCAGGATTTCCACTTCCCCGTTGTGGAGGACCTCATCAACAGTCCTCCCTTCACCTCCTTTCCACAGTGGTGCCGGGCGCAGGAGCTGCCGTGGGACGGCCCTCTGCTACCACAAATGGTCAGTGCCCAGCAAAGGCAGTGGCAGCGGAATGCTGAGGGCCAGCAAGCAGGTGGGATGGCGCATAAAGCCGCCCTGCCTCCAGTCCTGCCTTTTGGGCTGCACCCTGACGAGCATTTCGATCTGGCCAGGGACCTAGCCCACTACCCTACCCCTTTCGAAGCCGAACCCGTTCTTGATCTCGACCTGCAATATGCTGCGGAGGTGACCGCAGCGGGGAGAGGGACTCTCCAGCGGTCGCGGCGGGTTGCCGTGGGGGCGCTTAGGGAGCTAAAGCGCAGGTGGGCAGGGGTAGACACCTGTCTGCGGCAGGGGCAGGAGCCAGGTGTCCGGCGTGTGACAGCCAGACGGGATGTCGGCTTTCTCGCCCTACTGTTGCTCCTGGTGTCGTGGGGGGACGTGTCGTTGCCCCAAGCTTTCATCGAAGGCATGTCAGCCGTGGGAACGGCCCCCTATTACGGAGTTTTCCCGTGGCAGGGTGCTAGGCAGATAGGCCGAGACGAAATCTTTCAGGATGTGGGAGCCCAGAACAGCCGCATCCAAGCCAGTTTAAGACCAGGGAAAGACGACGCTTTCCTCCTAGCCCAGAGCTTGAAGGATGCTCAAAACGGCTTCTGCTCAAAGCCACTGCAATACCCAGAGCTATTGAGAGCTGTCAAGGGAGAGAAGTTCCGTCTAATCCCCAGATGTGTAATTACGCAAAGTAGTGGCAAACAGCGAGTGATCGACAACGCCGATACCGGAGGCCAGTCAGAGCTTAGCTCAGACCCCAACAAGTTGGTCCTTTGCTCCCCGTTGAGGCCAGCTCAGCATGCGGCCGTTCTGTTGCGGCAGTTGTCTACCTCCGAGTTCGAGGAAGCCCAGCGAGTGGATGCGCTGGAAGGCGGGGGTGAGGACTGGCCCGACGCTTATCGCCACTGCCCCATGTCCCATCGGGCGAGTTTGGCGTGCGTTGTGGTGTGGTGGCATCAGGAATGGTGCCAGCCAGCATACCAGCTCTACTCTGGATTGCTGTTTGGCCTCCCGTTGGCTGTCACGAGTTTCAATCGCTACAGCCGTGCCGTCGAGGCACTGGGGCGCAGATTACTCGGAATCCTCGTCTCCCTGTATTTCGACGACTCACACTTGACAGACTGGCGGTCGTCATGTTGGGTTCCCCCTTTGCACCAGATAAAAGGCAAGCAATGGCTTCAGCAGGTACCTTTTTAGGCCTCGATTTTGACTTTTCCGAGGCATTGAGAAGTGGGCATGTCAAGTTCTTCGTTCGTGAGCGTCTGCTACAGAAGGTGCAGGATATGGTGACCACTAGCCTTTCGACCGGGTTGCTCTCTGCAGGCCAGGCATCCAAGCTGTATGGTACGTGCAACTTCTTGGAGCAGGGCATGTACGGAAGAGTAGGAGCCGGAGGCCTGCACTCTATCCGCGAGAGAGCGGATGAAACAAGTCGGGAGTTGACCCCGCCAATCCGGGCCAGTCTGCAGATGATCTTAGCAGTGCTGGCCGTGCGACCGGAGCGTGAATTCGAGCTTTTCCCTCGACCACTTCCAAGATTTCTTGCTGCGAGTGACGCAGCCGAAGACATACCTGGACAAGGGACGGGAGGCTTCCACATAGTTTGGTTGGATGAGCCGGAGAAGCGGGAGAGCTTTGCGGCTGTGGTCAACTCAGAGCTCTATGCCCTGTTCACGCCAGGTGAGCATAAGATCGCTCAGTTGGAATTGGCAATGGTTTTCTACGGGCTGGTAGTGCGTGCTGAATCCTTCAGGGGAAGGCGCGGCTACTGGTATATTGACAACGTGGCAGCACTTATGGCGCTCATCCGAGGCCGTTCCAGCTCGCCGGACCTTGAACGCCTAGCCCACCTCATACATGTGGCCTTGTTTACTCTTCGAACATCCATTTTCTGGGAATATGTGCCATCCAAAAGTAACTGGGCGGACGCGGTGAGCCGTGTAGGACTCTGCGATCCGTGGTTACACCAGAGGGGTTTTTCCCCTAATCTGGCTACCTTTCCCACAATTCTTTGGTCTCTACCATTCAGCGCAGTGTTGACAGTCTTCCGTTTCCTGTGAGAGTGCTATGGGGATGAGAGTGCCTTGGGTGTTTCAAACCGCTAGGCGTTAGCGGTGAAGGAGAAGCAGAGAGGTGTTCCTCTGCATCCAAGCAACAAGTGTTGTTGCATCACCCACCTTTGGCCCCGGTGCCACGGAGCGATTTACCAAAGCACTATCCCGGAGTTGAACCGGGTTGCACAGGTGGAGACTGCAACGGAGTGCGAGGTGTTTGGAAAAGAGACCGAGGGCTCTGCAGGGCAGAGTGTAGTGAGTAGCACTGCAAGTAGGAATGTTAACCATGCATCGTGTTTGGCAGGCATGGGTGTGCATGTATCATTCCTCATTGCTGCTGCATGCCATTTTGGTTCGAGTGTGACCCAAAACGGCAGGCAGCTGTTGATTTTGCCCACCCACCCGCCCTGTTCGGACTCGGCCTCCGGTGGAGTCACCCAGTCCTTATGGGGTTGCGCACGTAGGTGCGACTCGTTTCGTGGTGTGGAACCGGGTGGTTCAATCCAATGGGGGTGTTTCAAACCGCTAGGCGTTAGCGGTGAAGGAGAAGCAGAGAGGGGTGTTTCAAACCGCTAGGCGTTAGCGGTGAAGGAGAAGCAGAGAGGTGTTCCTCTGCATCCAAGCAACAAGTGTTGTTGCATCACCCACCTTTGGCCCCGGTGCCACGGAGCGATTTACCAAAGCACTATCCCGGAGTTGAACCGGGTTGCACAGGTGGAGACTGCAACGGAGTGCGAGGTGTTTGGAAAAGAGACCGAGGGCTCTGCAGGGCAGAGTGTAGTGAGTAGCACTGCAAGTAGGAATGTACAATTGAATACTTTCACCACTAAGGCCGTGCTTGCTGCCGTGAGAGCAGCGTCGTTCTTGAGAGCCATGTTGCCAGACATGTGTAGATCTGCTGCAGATAGAACTATTTGGTAATGTCTCATATGGCCACTGGCAACTGTATTCCGGGGGCATACACCTTCAGAGTATTAAGCCCACGGGACACCTCACTGTTGGGGGTGGGGGGGGGAAGGACTCCGCATGTGCATGGACTCTGCTAGAAGGTTTGGCAATACATCTGTTTCCTGCAAAGCATCAAGAGATGCTTTTCTGATCTTTTCTGTTTGCAGCATGGATCCAGGAGTCCAAGCCAGTGGTGGTCCCAAGTGTGCGGGTGAAGCGAATTCTCAGCCAAGAAGCAATGTGTGCATGTGCGACCTTAAGGTCAGACGCAGATAGGGTTGGCAGGAGCTACAGTAGGCAACCGGTAGCGGAGTTCGCCTTCCCCGGTTTGCAACGTGTCGCAGTCCAGCGCAAGTGAATCGAACCAAAAGAGCCTGCCCTAATCTGCCCCACTCGAAGAATTGATTCCTTCCTTGCAGAGGAATCATGCTTCACAGCAGACACAACTCTCGCAAACCATTGCGTTTAACTGGGCTCTAAGCGTAATGGTGCGGGTACAGATGCGGTCCAGGTAGCTTGTCTCCAAAGCGCGCTATGTGCGGTATTCTGGCAGGCATCTCTTGCGATGGCAGCGACATATGCCAGGAGTCTAAGCAAAGGATCCTGCAGATGCTCGAGAAGATGACGCACAGGGGTCCTGATGAATCAGGTGTTCACCTAGGTGGAAGATTCTGGTTGGGACACACTCGACTATCGATTGTGTCGCCCTCGCATGGCCACCAACCCATTACTGACCATGATGAGTCGACATATGTTTGTGTCAACGGCGAGATCTACAACCACCTTGATCTCCGGGCCGAGGTTGGAGTTCTTGATAGTCAGCGCACAACTGACTCAGATTCAGAGATTGTCATTCATGGATACAAGAAGTTTGGCAATGACATCTGCGAAAAATTGCTGGGAATGTTTGCTTTCGTCCTTATTTCGCAGCAGGGTGAAGATTTGAAAGTTCTCGCATGCCGCGACAAAATTGGCATCAAACCATTATACCTTGGAAAATCCAAAGATGGCCGTGAGTATCTTCTCTCCTCTGAGTTGAAAGGCATTGTGAACGAATGCCGGCCGGAGGATCTACAGCTCGTTCCTGCTGGGCATTACTGGACTCCTGAGACTGGCTTGATCAAGTACTACAATCCGGCCTGGGATACAGACTCCTTTCTGGACGATGCATTGAAAAACAGAATTCCAGCTGTACCTGCCAGGTATGCCACTGTCGAGGAATGTAAAGCTGCTTTGGAGGAAGCAGTGATTCGTCGTTGCATGGCAGATGTTGAGATCGGATTGTTGTTGTCCGGTGGCCTGGATAGTTCCATCATTGGGGCCATTATGCATGAGCCCCGTGTCAAAGCCCACCTCAAAGCCACAGGCACGATTAAATCGTTCGCCGTGGGACAAGAGGGCTCTCCAGACATTTTGGCAGCACGGGTTGTGTCGAAGTACCTGGGCACGGAGCACTACGAAGCGCTCTTTACACCTGAGATGGTTTTCCCCCTGTTGGAGAAGATTGTTTATCACATGGAGACGTACGAGCCTGAGCTGATTCGTTCTTGCATCCCCAATTATCTCCTTGCGCAGAAGGCAGCAGAACATGTCAAGGTTGTGCTGACCGGAGAGGGCAGCGATGAACTTTGGTCCGGATACTTGTACTACGGAGATTGCAGCGATGAGACAATGCTGCAGGAGGAGAACCGCCGAATCCTGAAAGCAGTTCAGTTCGTGAATTTGCAACGGGCTGACCGAATGTCAATGGCACACTCATTGGAGGCTCGAGTACCTTTCTTCGATGTGAACTACATTGCAACGGCCATGCGCGTGGACCCAAAAGAGAAGCTCATCACCTCCGACAGATGTGAAAAGTGGCTCTTGAGGACCATGTACCAGGATGTTCTGGCCAAGGAGGTGGTGTGGAGAACGAAGGCCATGCAGTGTGAGGGTGTTGGCATGACTTGGGTGCAAATCCTTCAAGCACATATCTCTGAGCTAGTGTCGGATGCGGACTTTCAACATGCCGCAGCAACCTTTCCTTTGAATCCTCCTCAAAGCAAGGAGGAGTATTACTACCGTGCCATCTTTGAAAAATACTATCCAGGTTGTGAGAAATTTGTTCACGTTTGGCCCGGGGGATGCCGCGCGGCTGGAGCACCCTGGAAGAATGACAAGTACACGAGGCATGGGCTCGTGGACGTAAACGTGCTTAAAAAGGGGCACGGATGTGCAGGCTATATTTCTGCCTAGTTCTCCTGGTTTCTGTGTTGAGCTCCGGGCAAACCCCCTTGCGCCGTGGAAAAAGACAGCTGATGGCGGGCCTTGGCGTGGGAGGATTCTCGAAACATCTCGTCACAAGGGAACCATAGGGAACCCAAAACATTAAGAAGAACAAGGTTTTATGTTCCAGAATAGTAGGAGACCTCAACAAATCCTTCTACTACAACACCCAAACTAGTAGGAGCCCTATCAGGAGGACACCGATTTTGAGAAGCCACGTCAGCCGATAGAGAGCAAAGCTACAAAACTGTGCCAGCATTTGGGGGGGAGATGGGGGGAGGGGGTGGAGCGGAATTCAGACGAGGAATCGCATTAGTGCTCAAGACTGAAGACTCCGGGAACTTCGGAGGGATGTGGCTCAAGCGTGCCACCGTTTGCAGAGCTGCGACCTCTAGTCACTCTAGTCTTATGTGGCATCAGTGTCCACCTTACTCATTTCCAGCATGCCAGACGGCCATTTCCAGCTGTGAGCAGCCACCACGGCCCACCAGAATGAAGCTGATCATGGTACGTCACGGTCACGTGGAGAACCCCAACTCGGTGAGACGCCCCGGCATCTCGTCAGGCCATGCTGCGGGAATTAGCGTATTTAGTGTTTAGCGCAACCTCCACAGGTGCTGCCCCATCCAGGACTAGTGACGCAATGCTGACGAGCATGACGGTTAACGATCCAAAGTGTGTGCACAGCCCGGATCCAGACCGCATGTCTGCACTCCAGCTGGAAAGAAGACAGGCCTCCTCCAAACAGGTTCAGATCGATGCAGTCACCTGTATCGGCTGTGGTTTTAGCGCTGTTTGCTGTTCCTCTTCTAAGTTGTGCAAGTGCGTCGTGGACGCGACCCCTGTTCCTTACTCCATGGCCATCGTTGTCTGTAGCATTTTCCAGGTCAATTTCTCAGTAAAATGAGCCCAGTAAAGAGAGGCATCGGCTGCGCTGTTAACCACTGGAGAAGCCCTGAATTCCCCCCAGCTCTAACTTCGAGGGCACCTTCCTCTTCGTGCTGGTCCTGGTCCGCAGCCGTCGCTTAGCGGCTGGGCGTGCTTGTGGTCTTCCTGCCCTGAAGGTGTCAATAATCAGCCTAATGGATAAAAGATAAAGAAGTTAGAACCATATTACAGGACCACAAACCCGACCTGTGTGTTTTTTGGGCTGCCCTCGCAGAAAGAGTGGTAGTGTTACGCATGCCTGTGACGGATCGGTGTGATTCTCTGTGGTGATTTTGTGAGGTATGGCGGCAATCGGTTGGGACGGCAGCTCGGTGTTTGACCGGTGATGCGGCGGCGAGTGTGGTGGCTTTGCATGATCGTATCATTCGATGGTGCAGAGAGCGGTGCACGGATGATTTCCGGCTGCCAGAAATCAGTACTGAGCTTGTCCCGCGGATGTGTTTTGCGGCAGGCAGTCAGATCACCAAAACCACCACTAAGAAGGTGTGTTTGTCAAATTCGCCACTCACATGCTTGCATCGGACAATCAGATCACCAGTCTCACCAATCTCACCAAAAAATCACCACTAATAAGAAAGGGCTTTTTTGGTCATGGCAGCGCTTGCGTGGGACAATCAGATCACCACACTGACCACAAACAAAATGGGGCTTGCTTTTGGTCATCGCAGTGCTTGTCTGAGACAATCAGCTCACCACACTGACCACTAAGAAATGGGGCATTTGTTTGGGTCATCGCGGTGCTTGCATCGGAGAGCGAGATCACTAAGTCACCCCTGGACAGCACCCTCTAAGACTTTTCAGCAAGACTTGTCTCCGATACGCGTTTAGGGTAGGAGTTGAGCCCCGAAGCATCCCAAAGCAGCCTAATCTTTCGCTTCAGGAGGGGCCGGTGGCATGTAGATTGGGAGGACAATTTACCATTAAGTATCACCGGCAATTTGACCTGATTTATGCAGCTTTCTGGCTGATCATGGTACTTTCATGCTCAAAAAAGCAGCAGTGGTCCCTCTCCCCCTCATCAGGTATGCTTCAAGGAGAATACGGTGCTGGGAGACCTCAAAGCCTCGAAGCCCGAACCTGCTAGCTTCAAGCATGAGCATCCCAACTCAGCTCATGACGCATGGCATAGTTTCTAAGCTGCCCCTGCCAGCTGCTGCAGGGGCAGGAAGAGGAAATGGCACTGCACTCAATGCCATTTGCACATCAGCTTTCTGGGTGCTTGCCCTGCGCAAAGTTCGGTCCTTGCATATTCTATCGAAAATGACCAGACAAGGCAAAGCCTTTGTGAGGGATGCGCACATGACGCTGCCAAGATCTGCCAAGACTGGGCGAAAAAGCGCGAGTTTAGCTTGCTGTCGGGTCCGCATCATGGCGTGCTCCCTAAGGGCCCCCCCCCCCCCCCCATCCATTGGGAGGAACTGGTGGCGCGGTTGTGCAAAGTGCGAAGCCTCTACCATAGACCGGCTTATGTGGGCCTGCATAATGTCTTCGGGTGTTTAGGGCGTTGCTCAAGGCTCAAGACTCCGGAAGGATGTGGCTTTGATGTATTCCACCATTTGCAGAAATGGGCTACGACCACTTCGGAGGACGCCTTCCTTTGTGTCTGTAGAATTCGAGCTACGAATGCTGCGAGCTGCGACATCTAGTCTTATGTGGCATCATTCTGTTTCACTGGCGATGGCGCGGTGTTGTCTTTTTTGTTTCAGTACGATAACCGAGAATCACCTTACAGCTCAGTTCGGGGACTTTGGATTGCCATTTCCAGCCGACCGTGAGCTGCACAGGTCACCAAGGACGCCCTCCAGAAACTGAAACTAAGCATGGCCATCAACAAAATCCCTCCTCGGCAGTGGACTTCCTGGCGAGTTCTTGTTGCATGGCGTGTTGCTTTTGGCTCAAAGGCCCACTAGTCACGAGAAAACATTCTCATAAACGGGGTATGTCCATATCCTTAGACTCCTCGCCATGGCGTCTTGTCTCGCCCTACTACTACCCCTAGGGTTGGCGGCTATCGCAACCACTACAGGTACCGCCCCATCCAGCACCAGTGCTGCAAAGCTGCTGACCAGTATGACGGCAAACGATCCAGAGTGTGTGCATGGAGCACAGCAAGACCATGTGTTGCATATGCTGCAACTTGAAACAGGACGCATCTCCTCCAAGCAGACCCAGATCCAACTAAACACCCTGGCTGTGGATGCAATCGTACCGTGCATACCGGCTGTGATTCTGGCGTTGTTGGGTACGGCTGCTCTGTTCCTGGTCTACAAGTTCGTTGTGGACGCATCCCCTGTCCCCTACACCATGGCACTTGGTGTCTACAGTAATTTCCAGGACAAGTTTTCACAACATGAATCCCAGTGAAGAGAGGCATCAGCTGCTCAACCACTCGACAAGCCGTGAATCCCATCCCCAACCCTAACTTCGAGGACAACTTCCTCTTCACGCTGGTCCTGGTCCGAAGCCAACGCCTAGCGGATGATTTCCATGCCAACCTCTTTGTTTCGGGGTGCCTGGTAGGTGCTCACAAAATGGGCACGGCGCTGGGCATGCTTGCGGTCTTCCTGGCCTTGAAGGCTTTCCCGGCTTCCCCCCGAAAGGTGTCAATAATCAGAATAATGACAACCAGGGAAAATTGAACCGATAAACAAGTCATGTAATTACGACGGCGAAGACCCGAAACAGTAAGATTGCAGACAAGGGAAAACGCGTGAAGGCAACAGCGCGACATAAAATTTGACAGGCGTTTAGGGCTGCCCTAAACTTCAGCCGGCCCCTTGATAATTAGGTGAGTCATGTAGCGCCATGAGTCAGAACCCAAAGGCATAGACATGATTCATGCTTTTCTTGGCCCAAATAAAGAGGAACAAGCGCAAAACACCCTTTGTTTTTCCTAGCGTTTGCACTTTCAAAACACCGTAGAAGTAAAACATATCCCTTAGAGGTGGTTTGTCGTATGTCCCCTCCCTTCGTGCTCGTAAGGTGAGGGCCCCCCTGCAGGGAGGTTAGACCTGAAAGCCCTAGAAGCATAACGTGCTTGAAGGGCCCAGCATGCGAGGTTTGAAGATTTTACAGAGGCGTCTTGGTTGGTCCTTGTGTGTGCGAAAAGACTGAGCGTGTTCAACTAGCATCCTGCTTTGTGGGGACCGAGCGTACTCAAATGTCACCCAAGTTTGGGGACCGAGCGTGTTCAACTAGCATCCTGCTTTGTGGGACCGAGCGTGCTCAAATGGCACTCAAGTTTTGGGGACCGAGCATGTTCATCTAGCATCCTGCTTTCTGGGGGCCGCGTACTCAAACAGCACCCAAGCTTTGGGATTCAGATGGGATTCAGAACGCTGTAAAAGTAAGATCCCTTAGAGGTTTGCCGTATGTTCCTCCCTTTGTGCTCGTAGGTTTTCGTGATGGCCCCGTTTGTCGCACGTCCCCTCCCTTCGCGCTCGTAGGGTGACATCGTAAGCAACTAGCACCCCATCTGCGCCATGATGACCAAATAGCTCTCGCCATGGCGCGAGCTATTTAGCCCGGGGAACATCAATGCTGTTTTAACACGTTGAAACACGTTTTCACTAGTATTCTGCGTCCCAAAAGCCTGTGCTGGTAGCGTAATCGTGGCCCTATAGACCGCCTGCATTTTGAAACGGTTCCAAAAGCCCGTGCTGTTAACCTAATCGTGGCCCCATACCCGTCTGCACGTTAAAACGGCTAAATTTACTTCTATAGGGCCCTCACCCTACGAGCACGAAGGGAGGGACATGCGACACCCCCAGGGCCACCCCAGCACGAAGGGAGGGGACATACGACAAACCTCTAAGGGATATGTTCTTACTTCTACAGTGTTCTGAAAGTGATGAAAGTGCAAACGTTAGGAACAACATAGAATGTTTTTTTGCGCTTGCACACCCTATGGAGCCACGATTACGCTACCAGCACACAAGGGATAAACCTTTTCGCGGAGCAAGAAGAGCTGGGCAAAAACCCTGCTTGTTCTGCGAAAAGGTTCTATACAAGCGCAAAAACATCCTATGTTGTTCCTAATGTTTGCACTTTCAGAACACTGTAGAAGTAAAAACATATCCCTTAGAGGTTTGTCGTATGTCTCTTCCCGGTGCGTGCTCGAAGGGAGACGGCCCCTAGAGGTCAGGCCTGAAAGCCCTAGAAGCATAACGTGCTTGAAGGGCTCAGCGTGCGAGGCTTGAAGGTTTCAGAGAGGCGTCTTGGTTGGTCCTTGTGTGTGCGAAAAGACTGAACGTGCTCAACTAGCATCCTTCTTTTCGTGGACCGAGCGCACTCAAGTAACACCCAAGTATTGGCGACCGAGCGTGTTCAACTAGCATCCTGCTGTTTGGGGACCGAGCTTACTCCAATAGCACCCAAGTTTTGGGGACCAAGCCTGTATCCTGCTTCTTGGGGACCGAACGTACTCAAATAGCACCCAAGTTTTGGGGACCGCACTTTCAGAGCACTGTAAAAGTACAAACATATCCCGTCGATCGAGGTTCATCGTATGTCCCTTCCCTTTGTGCTCGTAGGGTTTGGTCGAAGTTTGTCGTTTGTCCCCTCCTTCGCGCTCGTAGGGCGACGTTGTAAGCAACTAGCACCCCTTCTGCGCCCTGATGACCAAATAGCTCGCGCTGTGGCGCGAGCTATTTGGTCGCAGGGGAAACATCTATGGTGGTTTAAAATGATAAAGCACGTTTTCAGGGCTGGTGTTCTGTGCCCAAAAGCCTCTGCTGGTAGCGTAATCGTGGCCCTATAGCCCGCCTGCATTTTAAAGCGGTGCCTGTGCTGGTAACGTTATCGTGGCCCCATAACCCGCCTGCACTTCAAAGCGGTTGTTCTAACCTCAGGGGGCTAACCCTACGAGCACGAAGGGCAGACCGGTCCCTTGTGCCCACCTCACCTGGGTCACTTGTGCCCGAGTCCTCGTGGGTCACTTGTCCCCGCGTACGTGCCTGAAATCACAGCCGGGCCACGCTTTGCCACGCGTTGGGCCACCTTAAAGCATGGCAGGGCCATAGGATGACGTGTTTGTCATGCCAAAAGTCGCGTCCCTGCCACATCCCACAGACCCCTCCCCCTTGTCCCCGCCCAGCGTGTCTAAGTGGATCTAGTTGTGATGCACTGAGTGAAGCAACGTTATTCTTCCTGTCATGGGCTCACCCTAACCTTACAACCCCTGAGCGGTCACCCGCTTAATCCAACCCCACGAGAGTTTAGGGCTCAGGGTTTAGTGTTTTGAGTGTATGGTGTAGGGCGTAGGAAAGAAAACTTGTGCGGCTCCCAACCATAGGCTCCTTAAACCCTAAACCCCACGCCCAAAACCTTTCATGAAACTTCAGACGCCGAATACTGTATGCCCTGAGCCCTAAACCCTGAACCTACTGATCCCAGACTCTAACAAAGCAGGATTAAGGTTCAGGACCTTGGCAAATAGCCCTGCACCCCTCTGACCCTATTCCCTAAACTTTAAACCCCCTTAATGTAGGGTTTAGAATCAGCCCTAGCCCGTGTCGTGCTGGAAGACGTGAAACAACGTTATTGTCAACCCCCACCCCATCAAACCCCAGCCGCGTGGATGTGGTCGCGCTGGACCGCGAAGAAGCAACGTTGTTATCAACCCCGCCCCCCGCCCAGCCCCCGCCCGGGCCGTGTTACTGGATGCGGTCGTGGTGCTGGACCACGCGAAACAACGTTGTTATCAACCCCCCCCCACCCCGTCAAGCCCCAGTCGTGACGTATACCGCGCAAAGAAGCAACTTTGTTGTCAATCCCTGCCACCAACCCCCCCCAGTGCCGTGTTACTGTAAATGGTCCTGCTGCACCGCGAAACAACGTTATTATCAACCCCCCCCCACCCCCCCCCGCCCCCTCACCCCAGAAGTGCTATGGCTGTGGTCAATGTTATTATCAATCCCCCCCCACCCCACACCCAGAGCCCCAAGCGTTACTGGATCTGGTCGTGCTGGACCGCGCGAAACAACGATATTATCAACCCCCCCACCCCCACCCACCCAGCAAGGATGTGGGCGCAAGTGGCCGATGACGTGGGCGCAGGTGACCCGAAATGACGTGGGAACAAACGCAAAAACATCTCATGTTTTCCTAACGTTTTCAGTTTCAGAACACTGTAGAAGTAAAAACATATCCCTTGAAGGTTTGTCGTGTGTCCCCTCCCTCGAAGGGAGAGGGCCCCTAGAGGTCAGGCCTGAAGGCCCTAGAACCACGACGCACTTGAAGGGCCCAGCGCGCGAGGCTTGAAGCGTTTCAAGTTGGGTTCATCCGGATCCTGGTTTCAGGCTGGGCTCGCTAGGTTTCAAGCTGGTAGCATTGGCCGGATCCTGGTTTCAAGTTGGGCGCGTTAGGGCATGTTGGTCGGAACCGAGTTTCAAGTTGGGCGCGTTAGAGCATGTTGGCCGGGTCCGGTTTCAAAGTTGGCCGGATCCGAGATTAAGTCCGGGTTTCAAATTGGGGTAGGGGGCCCATCTGGAACCAGGGGGCACGTTGGCCGGGTCCAGGTTTCAAGTTGGTTGGGCCCATCAGGGGCATGTTGGGCGGGTCCAGGTTTCAAGTGGGTTGGGCCCATCAGGGGCATGTTGGCCGGATCCGGGTTCAAGTTGGGCCCATCAAAGGAATGTTGGCATCCGGCTTTCAAGTTGGGCCCATCAAGGGCACGTTGACCAGATCCGCGTTCAAGTTGTGCCCATCACGGGCATGTTGGCCGGGTCTGGCTTTCAAGTTCATGCGTGACGAACCTTGCCGGATCCGGCCAACATGCCCCTGACGAGCCCAACTTGATCCGGCCAACGTGTCCCTGACGGGCCCAACACACGTGAACGCTTGGCCCACGATTGCGCCGAAATTGGCGACACCAGACGCGGCCACAGAAGGCTTGGGCCAATTAGTGCCTTTGATTTGCGTTTTTGAGAACTCACTTTTTCATGTTGCGCTGGCTTTAGTAGGGCCCCCCCCTCCTCACGGAAATGCCTCCGGGAGCCCCCCAAACAGATTTGGGGGGGGGGAGGATTGAGACGACCTGAGTTGAAGCCAAGGCCCTTAAGCCCTGAAACCCTTGCGGCCAAAAGGCTTCAAGCTGTCTAGCCTTCCAGGGCGAAGCCACGGCCCACAAAACCTTAAGCTTTTAGGGCCTTAAGGCCTGAAGTTTTCCTGCAAAGAACTTGTGATTCTAGCGGCCCCAAACAAACCTACTAAAGCGAATCGGGCGCTGGCCCGCGGGCTGCCTATCTATCGCGAAATTTGTTGGGTGCGAAATTTCGTAATGAAATCCACGCTTCCTGGATTCTTCAGACTGCTGCTGAGGCGGCCTCAGGAGTCAGACAAACCCTCACCATCCAAAACCCTAAGCATCCTAAGCACAAACCTTAACCACAGAAAGCACCTTGTGACTGCAGCGGGTGACCCGAACAAACTGAGTTCGCCGAATAATTCTGGAGACCTGTGATTATCGACCTTAGCCCTACTAACGCCAGTGCAACACTGTGGATCTTCTTGATTTCTGATGAAGTTCGGTGCGGGGGCGGGGGAGGGGGGGCGGGCAGAAATCACAAGAGCATTGTAGCATTTATTTCAGTTATTTCATAAATGTCTTCACATTAACCCACAAAAAGTCCTACAACATACATTATTTATGCAAACAAGCTTGTTCAATGATTCTTTTTTGGATCTCTGCGCCGCTCCTCCCGCACCTTGGCTCCCCAGCCGCCCCCTTCCCCAAGAGCAACCATAGAATCATGAATCACAAACTGAAGTTTCGTTAGATCATGAAAGATTCATTCATTCCTTGAATCCTGTTCTGGCAACCCATGCAGTGTCTCAACGCTAAACGCAAGGATCAGGGTCACCTCCCCACCCACAAACGCCCAACTCTCAAAACAACAAAACTTCGCTGCGCATTCATAGATCAATGTGGGAGGGGCCTCCTACAGTATATACACACACGCACACATACATGTGTGTGTCATAGATTCGCATGCATTCGCAGTTCAAGTTGGCCTCTGTTGGAAGCCATCAGGTGTCGCCAGACTTCTGGCGGGCAACCCGGGCTGTGTACTCCACTGGTGCGCTGCTGCAGATCAGCGGGGCTGTAGCCTTCGCCGCCTGCGGTTTCCTCGGCGACACTAGCCTGGCTGGGCTGGTGCTAGCGCGACCCCTCATGGGACTTGGTGGTGGAATTCAGGTTGGGTGCGGATTCTTGTTGTCCGTGTGGTTTTGGGCATACAGTAATACAGGGATCCGAACAAATGACCTGCATGGAAAGCCGCGAAGATTTGAGTAATTGAGTACTTGTAACACCTCTTGGCCCTTCAGATCAGCTTGGCCTTCACCCAAGCAGCGCACCTCGCCGGGAAGAATCGGGCGCTGTACAACCTGCGCTTCTTTGCGGCCGGCTGCGTAGGCATGGGTGCTGGGCCATTCCTCAGTTCCCTTGCCTCGGCCATTTCGCCGCCGAAGCCCACCGGCCAGGACGATTTTGAAGGCATGCTGGCCTTTGCGGCTCTTGCCCCTTGGATGCAGGTGAGCATGCTGCTGCGCTCGATCCCTTCCCTGGACAATGTGGCAGAGCGCAAGGCTCCTCGAGGAACATCACGCGCACAGGCGGTGGTTGTGTGCTTGTGCCTGGCCATGCTGGTCCTCCGGAACTTATGCTTGTCCTCACTGGAAGTTGGCATAGCTCAGCTCACGCAGACACACTTTGGGTTCGGACAGCTGGCCGCCGGAGTATTGTGTGCCCTTACTGTATTTGTAACCTTGCCTGTTCTACTGCTCTACGAGAAGAGTGAGAGGGTCCGATTCTGGCTCTCCTTGGGCGCAATGCTCTGGACGGGCTTGGCCGCCGGCTGCCTCTTGCTTTGCGAAAGGTTCGTGGTATTTTACTTTGGCGCCCTCCTGTTCTTCCCGATGATGGTCCTGAACAGTGGCCTTGTCATGGCGCAGCCTGGACCTTAAATAGCTACGGAGAGGAGGTGGGGCGGGGGGCTGGAGGGGGGAGGGCGGGGATGGCCATGCATGCAGGGAGGGGAAGGCGGTGAAGGCGGGGTGTCGGATGTCATGCGGGAGGATGGGGGGGGGATGACCATGTTTTACAACAAGAATGCCCACTTCACAACATTTCACAACTCAATATTCTCCACGCCCACGAGACAACCACACAAGGATGTTGGAGATTAGATGCTAGTTCGCCACTGTCCGCAACCTTTTCTGGTGCGCTATATCAGGCCTTCAGAAGCATCTGAAACATCGCTTGGTTGCAAAGTGTGCGTTGTCAGTGCAGCAACACACAAGACATAAATGTCATGTTACTTACTCTATGCAAAGTTGCTTGCTAGATTCACCGCTTCTGAGGCTGATGGAGAACACGATCAGGATTTGCATTATCGTCTTGCTTTCGTTCAATTTTCTCAGCTTGTTTGTCGCTGGTGCCTGACAGCGCAGGGTTCTATCATGCTCTACTGTAGAAGCGCCTGTTTACTATCGCCGGCTGTGCTGATGTTGGTAGGACCATTGTCCTGTTTCGATGTCCTTGGTGGGTCCTACACGATTGCTCGGCATCGTACATTGAGCTGCCCAAGCTCGAAACCCTGACCGGGGCCCTGCACCCAAATCTCAATCATCCCCAATAAGGCGCTCGCCTTGTGAGAGGTAAGCTGCGCCCATATAAATGTATGATGTAGCCCTAAGCCCAAACCGCACCACACCTTATCGAGCTCTTTGCAACCGAGGAAGATGCAGGAATATGCGATGCCGGACGGCTCGTTGCTCGACCGGACACTTGGCTGCCGTGTCTTCGTGCTAGGTTTCCCTTCGGGTCCTGAAGCTCTCCATGCAGATTCATCAGCTCTCCCCCAATCCTCCCCAGAGTCCTGATAGACAGTCTTGTAACAGCTAGGGGTGTAGAGTGTGGGGCTGTTGTGAGGCTTCGGGTTCGCGTCTCGCGCCTCAGGAACACAACAACAGTGCTGGGCCTGATCATGGCGGATTTCTTTGGACGAGGTTTCGGGGCCATCTCAACCCGGATCGATGTTACGCTAGGGGGGCAGCGAGTTTTTGCCCTCACGCAAATCACGTTCGTAGCTCTGAGCCTTCTACTCCACCTGGTAAGTGATTTCACCGTCGCCAGTCGCTCGGTGGACGCGAAGGCACGACACTTGCAGGCACCGGAGATCGAGCCGCACACGGCCATCGAATGATGTGTGGTTGTGTGCAAACCAAACTGCGCTGGCTTGGCCAGCTTGCTGAGTTTCACAGCCTGGGTTGCTGTTGAGAAGCTTTACTAAACCCGGGACTTTTGTCGGTTTAGCTAAACCCTAAAACTGCAAAAAATGGGTTTGAGCTAAACCCTAGTGTTGTCAGGTTGAGCTAAGCCCTGCAATTGTCGGGCTTAGCCAAACTCAACCAATGTCGGCGGTCAGACCCGAAAAATTTTCGGGCTGGCTAAACCCGACGGCTAAACCCGAAAATATCAGGCTGAGCTGAGCTAAGCCTTCAAGTTTCGGGCTTAGCCACACCTCTCTTGACACTGCAAGCGAATCTTCTAAATTAACTGATGTAAACGAAAATGCATAACCTGATGGAGGCATGATAGCGACGGCAAGCTAATGGATGCTGCAGTATGAAAGGGGACGCTGCAGTATGAAAGGACAAGCTACCGCAAGTAGATATGTTACCTGTAGTGGTTATCGCAACCGCTACAGGTACTGCCCTTTCCAGCACCAGTGAGCAATTTTGCTCAGACGTCATATGACGTCCAACGGTCCAAAGTGTGTGCATGGAGCACAGAAAGACCATGTGTTGTACAGGCGGCAACTTGAAGCAGGACGCATCTCCCCCAAGTAGACCCAGATCCAACTAAACAGCGGCGACCTGTCGATGCATCGAGCAATGAGCAAAACTGACTGCCATGCAGCACTTGCTGAGAATTGTGCCAACTTCCCTCCGCCCCCCCGCCCCCCCCCGCCAATCTCCATGTGCGCCTGTGTGTCTGCAAGAGATGCAAATTCGGCATATGGTGGCGCGCATGGCTTCAGGGCCCATTGCGCAAATGTCGCGATGGGCATTTTTGATTCATTGAATAGATCATCGCCATGGTATCTCGACAGTCCTTGCTGTTGGTTGTGGTTCTGCTCACATCCTCCACAGCTGCTTCATGGACTAGTGATGCCAGCTCAAACACTTTTGCGACAAGCATGACGGCCAAAGATGCCAAGTGCAAGCAGCACGACCATATGTCCGTGCTCCAACTGGGAACTACACGGGCGTCCTCCCAGCATCAAACCCGGAGTAACACCCTGGCTGTGGCTGCAATCGTACCGTGCATACCGGCTGTGATTCTGGCGTTGTTGGGTGCGGCTGCTCTGTTCCTGGTCTACAAGTTCGTTGTGGACGCATCCCCTGTCCCCTACACCATGGCACTTGGTGTCTACAGTAATTTCCAGGACAAGTTTTCACAACATGAAGCCCAGTGAAGAGAGGCATCAGCTGCTCAACCACTCGACAAGCCGTGAATCCCATCCCCAACCCTAACTTCGAGGACAACTTCCTCTTCACGCTGGTCCTGGTCCGAAGCCAACGCTTAGCGGATGATTTCCATGCCAACCTCTTTGTCTCGGGGTGCCTGGTAGGTGCTCACAAAATGGGCACGGCGCTGGGCATGCTTGCGGTCTTCCTGGCCTTGAAGGCTTTCCCGGCTTCCCCCCGAAAGGTGTCAATAATCAGAATAATGACAACCAGGGCAAATTGAATCGATAAACAAGTCATGTAAATAGATCAAGAGCCAACCCGCTAACAAACTAAGCGAAAGTTAAATCGATAGTCAAATCTACACGGGCATGAAATATTAATAAACATGTCTATTGACATTGATAGATGCAATAAATATATTACACAAGTGTATACATATATATATATATATATGTGGTCACACCCCCCCCTACGACAGACCCTGGAATTGCATTTCCAGTCTGTCCAGGAAGGGGGCGGAAGACCAACACTCCAAAATTCCTCGAGTTTCCAAAAATCCAAAAACCCAAAAAACCCAACCAAAGGTTTCGGATTTTTGGAAGCTCGAGCGGGAGCCTCAAAATCCAAAAATCGAGCAAAATCCTCGAGTTTCCAAAATTCCAAAAATCCAAAAATTCCAACCCAAGTTTCGGATTTTTGGAAACTCGAGCGGGAGCCTCAAAATCCAAAAATCGAGCAAATTCCTCGAGTTTCCAAAATTCCAAAAATCCAAAAACTTCAACCCAAGTTTCGGATTTTTGGAAACTCGAGCGGGAGCGTCAAAATCCAAAAATCGAGCAAATTCCTCGAGTTTCCAAAATTCCAAACCTTGGGGTGTTTTTTTTGGATTTTTGGAATTTTGGAAACTCGAGGAATTTGCTCGATTTTTGGATTTGGAGGCTCCCGCTCGAGTTTCCAAAATTCCAAAAATCCAAAAATTCCAACCCAAGTTTCGGATTTTTGGAAACTCGAGCGGGAGCCTCAAAATCCAAAAATCGAGCAAATTCCTCGACTTTCCAAAATTCCAAAAATCCAAAAAACCCAACCCAAGTTTCGGATTTTGGGAAACTCGAGCGGGAGCCTCAAAATCCAAAAATCGAGCAAATTCCTCGAGTTTCCAAAATTCCAAAAATCCAAAAACCCCAACCCAAGTTTCGGATTTTTGGAAACTCGAGCGGGAGCGTCAAAATCCAAAAATCGAGCAAATTCCTCGAGTTTCCAAAATTCCAAACCTTGGGGTGATTTTTTTGGATTGTTGGAATTTTGGAAACTCGAGGAATTTGCTCGATTTTTGGATTTGGAGGCTCCCGCTCGAGTTTCCAAAATTCCAAAAATCCAAAAACTGCAACCCAAGTTTAGGATTTTTGGAAACTCGAGCGGGGGCCTCAAAATCCAAAAATCGAGCAAACTCCTCGAGTTTCCAAAATTCCAAACCTTGGGGTGGTTTTTTTTGGATTTTTGGAATTTTGGAAACTCGAGGAATTTGCTCGATTTTTGCATTTTGAGGCTCTCGTTCGAGTTTCCAAAAATCCAAACCTTTGGGGTGGATTTTTGGATTTTTGGAATTTTGGAAACTGGAGTTTGGATAAGATTTTTTCAGGGGTTCGTATATGATTCCTTATTATGATTTAGGCTGCCTATTCAATTTCATAATACTCCTGTTCACTTTAATGGGGGTCCTTATTTAATGAATAAGATTCCTAATCATTTTACTAGCATTCAAAGTGATTTTCAATAGGGTTCCTGTATTTGTTTAATGAGGTTCGTATTGAATTTTAAAGGATGCCTATTAAAAGGCTTTATTGGGTTTAAGATTGATTCCTATTCATTTTACTCAAATGCCAAGTAATTTGAATACGATTCTTAGTCATTTTAATAGCATTCTTATTCCTAGTTAGTGCTAATAACAAGTTTTAATAAATTAGCTTGAGAATTTTAATAAGCATCATAACAAACTTTAAACATATTCCTATTAATGTCAATAGGCTTCTTGTTCATTTTCATAAGATGTCGTACAATTTCTAATTGGATTCCGTTTGCTTTGACAAGCTTCCTATTCATGTAAAAAGGCTTCTGATTAATTGGAATAGGCTTCGTATTCATTTTAGCAGGGTTTCTCATTCATGTTGACAGGATTCCTAATAATGTTCATAGCATTCCTACTAGATTCCACAGTGCTCCGATTATGCTTTTAAATCCTGTTCCCTATTCATTTCAATTGGACTCGAAGTAATGTTATTGTAACTCTTATTAATTTTATTAGCAATCCTATTTATTAAAAGTTTTAATAGGGTTCATCATAGTTCTAACAGTACGACTCTTATTGTTTCAAGTTTTAAAGCGTCCACGTTACTTTTTTTATAGAATTTTATTGGCTCCTCTTAATCTTTTAATAGGATTCATCTTCATGTTAAACGGATTCCTGTTACTCTTAAAAGAATTCATAGATTCTTTTGTAGGGTTCCTATTAATTTTAATAGCATTCCTATGAATTCAAAAGGGTTCCTATTCATTTCAATGGCCTTCCTATGATTCCTCTGAATTTAGGACTCCAAGAAAATTTAATAGGAGCCCTGTTAATTTAATAAGCTTCTACGTATCTCAACCAGGTTCTTATTGATTGTACTAGGATTCTTACTAAGTTTTCACAAAAGACTCGTCTCAATTTCAATAGGGTTCTCATTCATTTTAATGGGTTTCCTATTGATTTAAATGGGATTCCTATTGAACTCATACGAACCCTATGAATCCTATTAAATTTAATAGGAACCCAAGTAAAACTAACAGCAATCTTCTTGAAATTAATAGCAATCCACGATGTCCAGCAAATTGTTCAGGTCACTTCTGTTTGAGCACTCGCTCGAGCAATTGCTGAGTGGATCAAATTATGTGAATTAAGCTTTTTGGAATCAACGAAGTTAACGAAAGTGTTTGAAATCAATTACGGTAGACAAATCTGTGAAGTTGAGTAAATATTTAATGAATTAGTAAAACCCTACCATGACCAAACTGGCAGGCCGATCTGTCGGACTTCAGGGAAGAGCATATGGAGACGTGTTTTTTTTTTTGGGGGGGAGGTACCATATATAGATATACACACATATATATATATGTATATACCTATTGTTTGTTAACGTGTCTGGCTGCTGTGTGCAGCAATGCTGTCCGTAGCCTTTTTTTCGCTTCCGGGGTCTGTCGTAGGGGGGGGGGGGGTGAGCATATATGTATATACACGTGCCCTCCCAGTTCGCAGTTCTAAGCTGCATGTTCAGTCCCAGAGTTCATGCCCTGGATACGTTTACCGAGAATCCATCCGATTCAATTAGTCTTTTCTTTCTGAATGTCTTGGGAATGGCCTTCGGGAATATCATACAGAATCATGCTGAAGAATTTGGCGTGGCCAGACTCCAGTGCCTTGCGCGAGGACAGCTACACATCTTCAACATCCAACCATCATAGAACCACCCCGCCACAGCAAAGAATAAGACATTTATGCATGCTCCAACCTTTGCATACTCGCAAGTACATGACGGCGCTGAAGAGGCTGAAACACGGAATGCGAGTCAGATAACAACATCGGTTATCCGTGCCGCGGCGGTCATGCAGCAGTCAAGTCAATCAAGGAAGTTAGGCAAACGGCTGCGGAACAATCGAGAAACGATTCGTACACAATGGAATCCGACTTCACCCA